TAATAAAGCAATTTTTAATTAGGCTATGTCTGCATGTAGGTTTAAGGGCATGGAGATATAAAAGGAAAAGTTCAGGTACATTTTCAGTGGGCTAATGAAATACCTTCAGTTTAAACAATTTCTGAATGGGACCTAAATATGTGTGTCACTGCCAGGCAGAGATGCTATAAGGGGCCTTCTGCACCAGGTGGGACATCAGCCAGACACTCAGGAAGTCCTTTACAACTTGGCAGACATTCCAGCCTTCAGTGTGTGGACAGTACTGGCGGCATGCAGTTCCAGAACCAGTCTTCCATGTTTTCGCCTGCCTGAAAGCAACTCACAATTGCTGTCTGCCGCGCAGCAGTCATGCACAGTTGCCACAGCCTCTGTGTAGCATCAAAATTTGCACAACTGGTGTGTCAGCAGCCTAGAAAAATTCCGGGGATGACAGTGGAGTGATCTTTCAAGGAATGCTGTGATGCCAAGGTTTGGATGGTGCAGAGCAAGAATATCAAGACCCTGAATCCAAGAGTGATTTAGAATTAGACCCAGTGTGAGCAAGTTTTAAGAAGCCCTTCACCCTGGGTTTCTCCCTAGCAGCACTAGTGACATACTGAGCCAGATAATTCTTTGTCTGGGGTGGGGAGGTGGTTATCCTCTGCATTGCAGGACATTTAGCAGCCCCCTGGCCTAGACGTGCCTGCTAGATGCCAATAACACCAGGCAAGTTGTGACAGCTAAAAATGACTCCAGACGTTGTCTTCTGTCTCCTGGGGACAAAAATCTTCCCCCCTGAGGACCAGAACACTGTCTTCACCTATTTATTTTGCTTACATTTTCCTTTTTCATGAATACACAAAGTGATAGGTTTTTTAAAAATTCAAGTAAATCTTAATGAGCTCTTTCAATAAAACTTCTAAGAGATAAACCATTATGCTATAATTTGCAGCAATTTCCTTCTTAGTGGTACACCAAATGCTTCTTAAAATCAATGACATCTTCAATTCAATGAAAATGAGCCACCCACCACCATCCTTTCCATCCTTTCCCCTTGTTGTGCAACCTTCATCATGACTTCCTTCTTCCCCACTGTGTAGTTTTAGTAGTACCCAGTTCTTCACAAGCTAATGCTTCTCTTGTCTTCCTTTTGATTCTTTTGAGCTATCCTTTATGCTCCTCAAAATGTTCTTGCTTCCTAAGTTAGCCAGAGGTAAGTTTCAGTCTTTTGACCAAAAATCCAACTGAAAAAAAGGTCCTTCTTTAAGCTAGCCTGATAGAAGACCTTTCAGATTATTTCCCTGCCATGAAGTCAGCTTATTAAAAAGACTGTTCCTTTACCATTCACCACACAGGCAAAGTGATGAAGCCAGAATTGTTGAAACTGTGATGGGTCTTGGGGACTCACTGTACTCTTCTCTGGTTTTCAGTGTGCTTTAAAATGTCCATAATAAAAAGGGTAAACAAGAATAAGAAATATTCTGTAAGGAAAAAAAATATGATTTCCTAAGTCCTCTTCACACAAATTTGGTTCCTTATGTGTTATGTGCCGATCTTAAGAATTCACTATGGTTACGTGGGCACCTGGACTAGCACACAAGTAACAGGACAACAGCACAAGAAACTATTCTCTAAAACAGCTTACAAGGCTTTATTCAATTAAAGCAACACATACAATAATGTATTAAATGCTTCATGACTCCAAAAACTTGCTTTTAAAAGACTACATACAGGGCAGCCCAGGTGGCGCAATGGTTAATGCCACCTTCAACCCAGGGCCTGATCCTGAAGACCCGGGATCAAGTCCCACATTGGGCTCCCTGCATGGAGCCCGCTTCTCCCTCTGCCTCCGCCTCTCTCTCACTCTGTGTCTCTCATGAATAAGTAAATCTTTAAAAATAGATAGATAGATAGATAGATAGATAGATAGATAGATAGATAAATGACTACATACACATCAGGGCACCTGGGTGTCCAGCCAGTTAAGCATCTGCCTTCAGTTGAGATCACAATCCCAGGACCCTAGATCCAGCCCTCTGTAGGCCTCCCTGCTAAGTGGGGAGCCTGCTTCTCCCTATACCACTCCCCACCTCTGCTTGCACTCTCTCTCTCAAATAAATAAATAATATCTTTTTAAATAAGTGAATGAATGAATGTGAATGAATGAATGATAAAAGACTACACATAAAACTTTCTTAATGCAGGGCTCCTGGGTGGCTCAGTCAGTTAAGCATCTAACTCTTGATTTCAGCTCATGTCATGATGTCCAGGTCATGAGATCAGCCCCATGTCAGTTCCACACTGGGCATGGAATCTACTTAAGATTCTCTCACTGCCTCTCTCTCTGCCCACCCTCTGTGTGCGCTGTCTTGCTGTCTCTCTCTCTCCCTCAAAAAAAAAAAAAAAAAATTTTTAATACTTTTTCTAAAGTTTCTTCTCCAGTAGAAAAAAAAGAAAAGGAAACAGCTATTGATTCTACCAAAAACTATCCTATAAATGAACACACGCTTTTTGCCAAGATTTGACAGGAGAAAGTTTTCACAAAGAAGGCTTCAAACGAAATATTTTTTCTTAAGAAAAAATAATAGGGATCCCTGGGTGGCGCAGCGGTTTGGCGCCTGCCTTTGGCCCAGGGCGCGATCCTGGAGACCCAGGATCGAGTCCCACATCGGGCTCCCGGTGCATGGAGCCTGCTTCTCCCTCTGCCTGTGTCTCTGCGCCTCTCTCTCTTTCTCTGTAACTATCATAAATAAATAAAAATTAAAAAAAAATTAAAAAAAAAAGAAAAAATAATAAAAAGGGTGTACTACCCTCTGCTCTCCTTAAAGGTGATAGTAAATAAATTCCTTATCAATAGTCATTTGTTCAGTTTACAGGGAGGCTGCCAGCCCCAGTCCACATGAGATATGAAATTGGCTCTCACTGGCACCTTTGATTCATCTCATGTGCCCTTTACCCTTCCATAGACCAAGGTAGAGCAAATAGGAGTTGAGTAACAAAGGGCAAAAAAACACCATCAAAACAAAACACCACAGTAAGAGGTATTGTACCATATGGGAAGAAAGGAAGACAAAAATCCTATGTGAAATATAATAAGCAAAGTAAATATGAGAGTCTAACCAAAAAAGCCTTATTAAAATAAAATTCAATAAAAAAAATAAAATTTCAAAGACAAGAAATTCTACCATAACATATCGATTTTCTTTGCTTCTTAATGAAAATAGTCTGAAATTTTCTGAATATTTAAACTTCACTCTCTAATTATATACTCCATCAACCTAACCCAATTAAGTAATTATAAAGTGCTGCATAAGAAACTACTGAAATATACACACAGACCCTTTTAGCAGGACTAATTACATCTTGATTTTTTTAAAACCCTAAGCCATGAGCCTTCCTGAGAAAATGGTGGTCTTAATCTAAAATTTATGTCCTGGGATCCCTGGGTGGCACAGCGGTTTAGCGCCTGCCTTTGGCCCAGGGTGCGATCCTGGAGATCCGGGATTGAATCCCACGTCGGGCTTCCGGTGCATGGAGCCTGCTTCTCCCTCTGCCTATGTCTCTGCCTCTCTCTCTCTGTGTGTGACTATCATAAATAAATAAAAATTAAAAAACAACAATATATTTTTGAAAAAAAAATAAATAAAACTTATGTCCTGTCCCACACATTTCAAGCAAATTAGTGGTAGCTTAGCACTTTGTCAAAGGGAAAGAAATATTAGAGAACATTTTTCAAACCCCTCAGTTAAGAAATAAAAGCTTTAAGGCCCAGAGAGGTTAAATTATATGTTAAAGGTCCTGTGGTCAATGAGGACTAGAATCCAATTCAAAGACTTTACATTTAGCTCTCTCAAACAAAATAGTTAAGCAATCCAAAATAAAAACAAATATATACTAAGCATCTACACGTGGTAGGCATGTGCCTAGTATTCACAGTAGAAAGACATTCACATGATTATATAATAAAACTCTGCTATATGCAAATTCCAGAAGTAACACAGATGGGAAGCACTTGACTGTATCTTGGATCAAAATGTATTCACATATTTTTATAAGTATATACTTTAAATCTTTAAAAGTAGTATTTTTTACCAAAAAAAAAATATTATCATGCTGTTTTGAACATTGCTTTTCTTCAATTTATGGCTTTTCCACATCCTTCTGAATCAGCACATAAGGAACCACTTGACTGTCTGATATTCCATTGTAGGCATGTATCATAATTCATTCAGCCAGTCCCCATAATGGGCAACCATTCCAGTTTTCTATTATTACAAAAACACTTCAGAGAACATTCTTTCAGCTGTAAGTAGTAGTATTAGTAATGACAATAATTGCATTGATGTACAAAAGAATAAAATGTTCAAGAATAGAACAGAACTATGGAGGATCTTATTTTTCAACCTTACATATCTCTGCAATGTCTTCAGCTTTTTTAAGTGAGGACATTACTAACTGGTGCTATATGTTAATATGGACTCATATGACATTTCACTGTAAGCAACAATATTGTAAGCCTTAACACCCATTGTAGACTGTACAATTTTCGATCATAAAGACATCTGGTGAAAGAAACTAACTAGTCTAAGAAATGCCTGGAGAATCCTCAAGAACTACTTCTTACATACTAAGAAAGTTCTCAGTAATCATACACCTAAGAACCACACAAGAGATATAATGGTCATAATCCAGGGGCACCTGAGCGGCTCAAGGGTTGAGCATCTGCCTTCAGTTCAGGTCGTGATCCTGCGGTCCTGGGATCGAGTCCCACATCAGGCCTGCTTCTCCCTCTGCCTGTGTCTCTACCTCTCTCTCTGTGGGTCTCTCATGAATAAATAAATAAAATCTTTAAAAAAAAAAAAAGCACAATCCAAAACTGAAAATGGCCACATTCATATACTCAACACATTCTGAAGTTCAGCCAAACACAATACTGGGTCTTATTACAATCATTCTCCAAAGGTGTTTCATAATTATGACCAAAGTCCACCAAAATCTGTCTCCGATACCACAAAACTCACCGTTTCTGGTTTTCAGACTCTTTCCTGGCTTGCTCCAGTGCCAGCTCCTCAGCTACTCTTCTCTTCAATTCTTCATCAGAAACTAGGATATAGAAAGAGTGGGAGGAGATTAAAATCAGTGATTTCTTAAATACAGAAGCAAGAAAATACTCCAGAAAACAAAGCTGAGACTGGATCTTAATGGGCAAAGTTCTGCCAGCTGGTCAGTCTCCTTGGAACTACCCAAGCACTGCAGAAAAGACCAATTAGTGCACTTCATGAGTAATTTAATCAAAAGGTCCCTGGTGACCTAGAAATTTCCACACCTGCCAAAATGTATAATAAACTCAAGGAGCTGCTTACTGCCCAGTGGGGACTGAGCCATTAAGTACAAATTCTTTAAAATGATGTCCTATCATTAAAGTCTGACAATCACATATAAGGGGAGGAGATGCTGTAAGAAAGGGACTTCAGACAGGAAAATGACACTGAACTATTCTCATTTTGATAATTAAACATTTCAAAAAACATTTTTTTAAATAGGCTCCACACCCAGCATGGGACTTGAACTCACAACCCTGAGATCAAGACCTGAGCCAAAGATCAAGAGTTAGACACTTAACCGACTGAGCCACCCAGGTGCCTCATATAATTACTTTAAAAAATCATTTGTGACAGGAAGAAAATCAATTGTATTTACATTCATTTTTCCATAATTTATGAAAAAAGGCATTTATGATTTATGAAAATTTTAAAGCCATATATTTTGGAAAATATATCATTCAATGTCAAGTGCCAACAATTGGAGAGAAACACAGAAAAGTGCTGACAGCTGGAGCTTTCTAAATACCTGGTGACTTGATTTGAAACATCTGGTCTTTCCAATTGGAAGATGTTGTATGATATGTTTTGTAAAGATTCTTACAGCAAATAAAATAGACAAATTTTATATGTTCCTTAAGAGTCTTCCATAAAAAATAAGCAGAGACTATCTCCATTGTGCTAGAAACTCACCACCTAAAATCATGATGAAGAAAGCACCAGAAAAGCTTGGGAGAATCTATGAATACACACAGGACTTCAAATGGTGAAGTCTATGAGGTGGAAAACCAGCAGGACACTTTATTTGATGATCTCCACATTAAAGTGCCGTGCTTCAGGGCATATGCAAAAACTGAATTACAACAAGGTATTTTAAAATTTAGCTGACACTGGACAATAACAATGAAGATATGGGAAAAGTCATAAGGACATGTTCTCTTACGTGTGGGATTATCAGAAAACAACAATAGAACCAAAGGACACCATCAAGGTGAAAAGACAAACCCATGGAATGGGAGAAAATACTGGCAAAGATACAAGACTTGTATCCAGAATACACAAACAAAAAGACAACAAAATTAAAAATGGGCAAAGGACGGAAACAGGCATTTCTCTAAAAAAAGATAATACAAGTTGCCAATAAGCACATGAAACATGGGTCAACAGCACCCATCATCAGGGAAATACAAATCAAAACCACAATGATACTCCAATTCAAACCCAGTGTAATCAAAAAGACAAGCAATAATTAACAAGTGCTGGTGAGAATGTGAAGAAATTGGAACCTTGATACATTGCTGGTGGGAATGTAAAATGAAGTGGCCACCACAGAAAACACTCTGGCAGTTCCTCAAAACGCTAAACACAGTTGCCATGTGATCTAGCAATTCTACACCCTGGCACTGTATATACTCAAGAGAACTGAAAATATTTACAGCAGCATTATTCACAATATTCCAAAAGTGAAAACAACCTAAATGCCTATCCACTGATGAATGAGATAAAAATGTATATCCATCGCGATAAAGCTGTAAAACAATAAAAATAATATAAAAACAGAATAATGGACAAGGAATTAGAGAAAGGAATAAATACTAGTTGAGATCTAATCCCAGCATGGCCATCAACAACCTGGAGGACCTTGGAGGGAAGTTCCTAGCTTCTCTGTACAGTTTTCTGCAAAAGGCTGTTCTGCTATGGACATTCTCCAGGGTCCCTTTGAACGATACACTATGCTGCTGTTTGGCATCTCTCCTACTTCACAGTCTATATAAGATGAGAAAGATACAAGTCTCAGCTTTGAAAAGGTCACATAAAATCAAGAAAAAAAAAAAAGCTAGAACAGAGAATTCTGTCTGCATTCAGGCAAATCTTAAAGCTTTTTTCAGTATTAAAGATTTAAAATAATACAAACGCCAGCAGAGAAATTCAGACAGGGTAGCCCGGGTGGCTCAGAGGTTTAGCGCCGTCTTCAGCCCAGGGCCTGATCCTGGAGACCCAGGAATGAGTCCACATCAGGGTCCCTTCATGGAGCCTGCTTCTCCCTCCCTCTCTCTCTCTCTCTGTCCCTCATGAATAAATAAATAAAATTTAAAAAAAAAGAAAGAAAAAGAAATTCACAGACAGTAATAGCTCAGCAAAGATCCGAATGGTCTTTGCTTTTCCATCAGCTAGACTTTGGATCAATCAGGTAACCTACCCAAGTTCTGATTTTCTCATGCAAAACCAGGATCTGCTGGGTTACATGGGGGTCAGCTGGCTATGAAGTTCTAGACTATGCACTCTACAAAGTGATAATTTTCACCTTTTCAGCTACCTCTCATAAACAAGCAAAACATCACACTACATTTTTTCAAGTTGCTCACAGCTGGTAACTCTAATTAGTAGCAAACATTGAACAAATATTTAACCCAACTGATACTACACAAACTATAGTCTTTAAGTTTCCCATACCAGTTAGAATCTACAGAGTGAGGCTGATATGTATAATCAGACCGCTTCCCCCTGGATTTTTTTCAGATCACCACAGCAACATTTTTCTCAGGCAAAATTCAATCAAAATCTCAATCACAATTCAAATGAATTTCATTCAAACTATTAAAACTAGGCTTCGGTGAGAGCATACCAGCTCTGAGTATGCAGCAATGGGATCTGTTTTTTCAGTGAGCTGGTAACTCCATGTCTTCATAGTGCATTTTATGTCGCTTCTTTAGGGGCTTCCTACTACGGGAAAAGCCAAAATTAGCAGAGAGCTTTTTATGAAGACGTGATAAACCTAAAATGGAACAGTAAGGTCTCCATTACCAAATGGTGACCAGTTGGGAAGTTAGGAAGGAAGCCATGAAGGAGGGACTGCAAAGAAGGAAATGTAGCTTCAAGGCCTGTCCTCTTTCTCTATACCATCCTGCCTATTCTATCAGCCCCACCACCTGCCCAGTGAGGTGTGAAACAATGGTGCTGTCATCTAGGTAGGCCACAAGGAAGAGAAGTGGGAGTGAGAAAGCACCAGCCATGCAAAGGGCCAGAAACTCTTGAGGCCACTGAAAAAGACATGCCCCAGGGACTGATTGACATCACTTTTGGTCAGTAAAGAGACCAAAGCACAGCTGTCTTTCTAATGCCCTAGCTATTCCTGGAAAAGAAAAACGAAAAAAAAAAAAAAAATTTACAATTTTGGGTCACAGCTGAAAAAGGAATTACCTTAGCTACAAGCGAGAATTTAAAATAACAAAAGATAAAACATGACCTAGCATAAAGAGCCTAAAATCTAAAATAGCAAATCAAAGCCCAGGCAGAAAAATAAACCAGTATAGTAATGGGTTTTGAGCAAATCTAAGTTTCATGTTATTTGTTTTTAAATCAATAGAATACAGAAAGCAACAATACATTATTTCTTCCGATGGGTCTGGTCCAAAGCACAGAAGGAAAAAGATATACCATTTGGAGACCACTATTTAAAATGGCCTTTCTGAAAACACTCTTTTCAGCTCTCAGGATCTGAACATTTTCTCAAATAAAACTGTTATTAAATTAAAAGGTCAGTGTTTCAGGATGGACTACTTTCAGAGAAGCTCAGGAAAGGCCAACCTTGCCTATTAGCACAGTGAGTTTCCAAGAAGATCTTTAGGGACTGGCAAAGTTTGTGAAATGAGAAAAAGTAAAAAAAAGAAATGTTCAAGCCATATAAATCAGATTTGCCATGGAAATCTGCAAACCTATTTCAAGCCCAGTAAGTATGGTTCACAGCTTTTACATACATACAACACTTTCCTTTTAAAATGTGTTAAGACAAAAGGGTATTTTCTTCACATACTTGAATCCCGTACTTTTAAAAATCTTCACAAAAATCATTTTATTGTCTTTCTCAATGGCAAATGTATCTTAATGTACATAAATACTGGCATTTTCTCAATTAGTTGTAGATAACACAACACTCCAGAACATGGAAGAAAAAATAAGTATTTCAACTGCTTGGTTATATCAAGTCTGGCCTTGAATGCTTCCTTTAAAAACAATTATTGAAAATAACAAATACTTGTATGATTGAAAGCAGCTCCTAATTCCCAACAAAGTCATATTTGTTTTTAGTGTACAACATTCTAAACAAATGTTTTGGTTAATCCATTAATTCTTTACTAACTGCCTAGCAATCTTTTACTCCTCTTGGCTACGTTCTAAATTTCTAAGAATTTAAATTCTAAAGAAATTCTTTTTTTATTATTAGGATAAAATGCTGTTTTTATTGGCTTTATATGTTGGGGTTCTATCCAAGAGTTCATTTTTTTTATTTTCTTTAATTTAAATTCAATTTGCCAACATTTAGTATAACACCCAGTGCTCATCCTATCAAGTGCCTTCCTTAGTGCTCATCACCCAGTTACCCCAAATTCCTAAGAAATTCTAAGAATCTAAATTTCACATTTGGGTTCAGGGTTAGGTAAGAGGGGGTGGCCTGGGTGGCTCAGCGGTTTAGCACCACCTTCGGCCCAGGGCCTGATCCTGGAGACCTGGTAGCAAGTCCCTGCATGGAGCCTGCTTCTCCCTCTGCCTGTGTCTCTGCCTCTCTCTTTCTCTCTCTCTCTCTCTCTCTCTCTGTCTCTCATTAATAAATAAGTAAAATCAAAAAAAAAAAAAAAAAGAAACAAACAAACAAAAAACAAACAAACTCCTACTTATTAGAGATCCTAGTATTCTTAGGAATAGAATACCATGGTCTTAATTCTCAGAGAAAGTGCAGCATAAATTCATTATGCCTCACCTGCTTTCTGTGTTATAGGACTT